ACGCGATCGGTGGTGATGACGTTCGGCGCATTGGCGGACAAACTCTGTGCTCTGCGCCTACTAGCCGTCGTCGGCGAGGTGGGTGAGAGTGTAGAGTTCAGAGAGCTTTGAGACGACATGGCTGTGCCCTGCGATGGGTATCCGGAGATGGCATATGAAAGACCGCGGCGGAACGGGGGGGCATCATAGGTGACGCCAAACTCCGTCTGCTGGCAGTAGGGGCACTGGGCGGGCTCGGAGATGAGCATTTCGGGGGACTCTTCGGGGTTCGTCGGCGGCTGCTCGTTGGGCTCTCCGTGGTGCTCGGGATAGTGGGGGTCCGCGCGCTTGATCTGCACGAAACACTCGCTGCAGATCGGTTGGTCACAACAGCGGGTGCGGTTGAGATACGGGGGGTATGTGAGGAAGCAAATGGGGCATTCGGTAGCGTCCTTGTAGAGGAAGACCTCAAGAGGTTGGCCGTTGACGAATGGGTCATTGGGCAGTTGTATCTCGCGAGGTACTACTTCGGTGGCGGAGCTGTTGCGGGAACCTCCACTGAGAGCTGCGGCAATGGCCTTTGCCCGCGGCTTGATGCTGCGCGACTGCTGCTGAGCCGCGTTGGGCGAGGTTACTCCAGAGGCCGGGCCGGAACCGCTGCGGTCTGAGCCGACGGATAACGAGCGGGGGCCCATGGGGACGGTCAGGTTCGCGAGATTCTGGGAAGAGTCGGTTGGTGAAGCGGGGGTGTTCGCCTTGGGGATGAATTCGGGAGGAGGCTGCTCATCGGCGGCAGGGATGTCGAGGCCACGCCCAGCACAGATGAGCTGGTACTCGGTCCAGTTGTCTGAATAGTCGTTGAGGCCTCTCCAAAATGGGGCAAGACGTCTCTCAAGCTGTAACGCAAGCATGTCAGCAATGTCGAAAATACCGGTGTTCTGGCAGGAACGCTCACCTGCAGCTGGCGGACAATGGGCTTGCTGAAGTCCTCGGGGCCAGTATAGGTACCGAGAGTGACGAGGTAGCCACCGTCGACATGTTCCTCCCTCATGCTTCGCTCTCGTTCCTTTTCTCTGGCGACGCGCTCCCTCTCCAAGCGACGAGCCTCTCGCTCTTGCCTGGTCTCCCTGCGCTCGTACGGGGCATCTTCTCTGCCTCCTGCATTTGAAGATCCGGCAGCTCCGAGACCCAACAAATTGAGGTCAGCACGGCTGAAGCGGCTTTGTCTTCGCGAACTGGGGCGGTCGGTGTGTGCATCGCGAGAGGAGGAAGGGTTGAGGTAGGCGGCCTGGGTTTGACGGTAGTCGGTCGCCGGATCGGACGCACGAGACTCCTTAGTACTTGAATTTCCCATGGCGATTGCTAGTGTTGTACAGTATGTGGCTTTGCTGTGATTCCGTCGGGGTCAACCACGGTCTGTTGGGTTGCGGCGATAAGCAGCAGCAGCAGCTTAGTTGCGGCTCAAAGAGTGGCGGCAATGGCGGCGAGAATGACTGTCGAATCAACACAGGATGTATGGACGGGAGGCAACGGGAATATAGACGGGGGGAAGGATCGGCTCGGTCGGAGGGACGAACGATGGAGGATAATGTGTTGTTGTCGTCGTCGTCGTCGTCGTCGTCGGTCGAATCGTGAGCAAAAGGCAGGTCGATAGTTTGTTCGTGGGGGTTGCGTTGCTGGGAAATTACCGCCGCGGTGGTGGATGAGGGGGAGTTGATGGGTCGAGTCAACAATGCATCCTTCAGACGAGGGCGAGAGGAAGTGCGGGCATTGTCAAGTCAAGCGGCAAGTCGAGTTGAGGATGTGGCGGATGGGACGGATGATGTGCGTCGCCAGAACTGGGCGCGGTGCAATGTTGAAATGCGATGTGCTGGTTGCGTTGCTGAGGTGGTAACGGGGGGGCGGCAGTGGTGGGAGGCGGGTAAGGTGGTAAGAAATGTTGTTGATGCGCGAATGATGAATGACGGATGCTCAGCAGGTTGCAGCAGGTTGGCGGTGCAATGCAGTGAGGTAAGGTATGTGCAGCGAGTATCTGTACAGGGCAGCGGCCGGCGGACCAGGGGTTTGGAGGAGTGATTGACGGATGGAGACGACAAGAAAAAGAAGGTCGGGCTTGTCGGGTCGGGGAAGCTTGTGCTTGTGCTTGTGCTTGTGCGTGTGCTTCTGCTTCTGACGGGGCCTGACGGACGGGGACGGGGTGGAGGACGGTGGAAGACAGGAGTGCGGGCGGTGCGGCGGTTGTCGTACGTGCGTGGCTGGTGCGCTGGGCGGCCAAACTCTGATAGACAGCTTCTGTTCGGCTTCTGCTTCTGCTTCTGCTTCTACTTCTGCGGCTGCTTCTATGTCGCGTGGGTTTGGGTTTTGGGTTTGGTGTTGGTGCAGTGACGCCGTCGCCAAGTCGATGTGACGTCTGCAGCGAGGGACGGCGTGGAGGTGACAGGAGGCGAGCAGCAAAAGATCAACAACCATAAAAAAAGAATTGTGGAAAGGGGTATGACAGGAGGCAGTGGGAACACTTGAATCCAAGAATCAAGGCAGGAGGGGCCCAAGAGGAAATCCGGATCTGAGGTCAGGTAAGGTAGGTAGGTACATCCAGACGTCGGGGTGAGGTGGTGCCTTCCAGAGAGGAGCGAACCGAACAGTGCTCTCTTCCTCTACCTTACCTTGGGCAGGAAGGGCCATGTCTCTCGATGTACTCTTGCCAGACATGGGTGGGCTACAGTATGGCTTGAGCGGCACAGGTACTTTGTCACAGCCAGACGGTACATGGGCATTGGTGGATGCGGAAAGAGCCAATCCACAGTCTGGACCGAAATCGCTGGCAGGACCGGCCCGGGCTGGTCTGGGCAGCTGAAGATGCGACTTGGGCTCTGCGGTTCAGCGGTTCAGCGGTTCAGCATTTCTCTCTGTTCCTTTTATTTAAGGTACGGACTGAAGTCTACCTTTTGCTAGATTATCGGGGATGGGAAAGCGCTCAGATTGATTCTCATGTCACTGCTGCCCTGTGACTGAGTGTAGACGTTCGCTCTCTGCTCAAGACAACGGGAAGGTGCCCTTGGGCCGGTACGTACTGCCTCTGCACCGAGGGGGGCGAGAGGCTGGCGTGGAAGGTGGGGCCAGGCGGGACCCCTCCCCTCCACGTCCTCACACTGCACCTTCCACCTTCCACCTTCCACCTTCCCCGAGCTGTTCTCACCGTGTGCGGAGGTACCCCTCGACGCCTTCCCCCCGCAAAACGGTACATGATCCCGCAGTACGCAGGACTGCCACGGCCACGGCCACTGCCCGGCCGGACCTGCGGGCTGTCAATGCTCTCTGCCTCTTTCACCTTCACTTCCAGCTTGCTTGCTATCCGTTCACACACTCAGTTGCCAGTGTCGTGAGGCATTACTTGTACTCGCACCTTTCCTTGTGGCTTCACTGCAACCGCAGCTCTGCCAATCGACGCTGCACATCCAGCTGGCATCTTCCCTAATTGTGAACCACAACCTGAGGCACGGCGCTTGATGTTCTTAGCCTTTGGATGGCGTCCTGTGGGCTGTGGCTGCATCTGACTGTTAGCTTACCTTACCTGAGCCTCGGGGACCTACGGCGGTAGGCAAGCTGTTAGTGAGTTGGTCAAGTGCCAAGAGGGGCATTGGAACTTCACTGGATGCCATCGCCTGTCGGTACCTCATCCCAAGTCCCAGCCTTAGTTAAAGACTTCACTTCTCTCCCATCTCAGTCAGGCCTCGCTCATCGTGAAGCCCAAGATGCTGCTTCCGGTCGTCCCGGCCTTCCCGCAAGAACCAATCAGCCGTCAGCAAGCCTCGTAGTATTTGTTAGCTGCTCCGGACCGCTTGCTGTCCACTCTCCAACCAGTCAGTGTATCCTTACTTCTTCTTGTTTGTCTTGAACCCCTACCATCTCTGATTCCCTCACTCAACTCAACTCATCCCACATGGATTTCATCCCCATCCACACCCACAATATCCCGAAGCACGTCCTTCTCCTGTCTCATCTCACCCTCCGCCGCCCCTTGCCGCCTAATGCTCCTCCAAAGCCGCAGATCGCCCCCAAAACCCTCTCGGGGCGGGGCTTCCACTTCAACCATCTTCCATGGATCCACGCCGTCTGCCCTTCATGCACACCCTCCGTCGCAACTCGTACTGCAGAGCTATGATGCCTCACGGGCTTGAGCGTCTGCTGCGCTGCATCCAACGTCCCAAATTGATCCAGGTCCCAAGGTTCCAGAATCCCATTCCACTGCCATTCGATCGCCGCTCATCCACGTGTCAACCACTGCCGACCCAAGCATTACGCTTGGCACCCTCAGAGACAGGCCCTGCCCTGCCCAGCCCAGCCAGACAACATCCCTCTCCTATTACACCACACCACACCACACATCTCTCTCTCCCACTTCTCCGAGTGCCCTCGCCGAGCCCTGTCATTCATACATCATGCTACTGCAAAGCCTGCTTACTCATTCATCATGGGTTTATCCAACCAAGTTCGACTTTACATATTCAGGAGAGGGTCTTCATATGAGCCCATTAGGACTCTACTACCAATTGCTACGTCTGTAAATGCCCATCAAATGTCCCTTGATGCTCCATTCCACCGCTGATACAACCAAAGATCATGCCTACCGTCTTCAAATGTGTCCCTGCATTCCCTGGGGGTGTCTCATGCCCGCAGCCGCACACCCTCTGCGCGCCGTCAAGCCCTAGCCGCCTGTCGGCTTATCTCTGTAACCAAGGCGATGACGCTGTCGCGTGATATTTCGAGACACTCATCCCACCATGTCCTCGGCGGTGAACGTCAAAACGCCTTCTGCACCCCACGTTTGGCCATCTGCAAGTTCAACGGCTGGCCTCAATGTCTGCCATGCACTACCTCACCGCCGACCCCTCCCTCCCTGTCCTGCTCCGTCGCCTGGCCCGGATCATCGGGCATCGCTTATCGGCCTTCAATGCCAGTCTACGACACTAATACCAGCTAGCGATACCCACACATGCGAGCTTGTTTCCCACGACTGTCGATCAGCTTCCGCCAGCCTTTACTCCGTCTTCATCCCAGGTCACGGCAATCGGCTCGTGATTCCCTGAAAACTTTTGCCCGCCGAACCATAGCTCGAACCGGATGTCGGCCGGCGCAATTATTACCCGCACGTCAAAGTTCAAGATGTAATATGTCGTTCCCTTGGAGAAGCAGCTTCCGCGTTTGTGTTTGAGGACGAGCTGGTTTTGCTGGACTCCGGTCAAATTGCTCTTGACGTCGCATAGCTTCGTTGCTCCCGCTGGTCTCAGACGTCAGTCACTGCCCGAGTCCTTCCGCAATCGCAGTTGCCATCGATATGCAGACTTACCGTGCTTCAAGCTTCTGGGGAGAAAGGTCGGCTCGTTGTGAGAAATCACAACGTTCGCATCCCATGATCTCTGCGTGTCCCCGGCGCCTAGGGAAATAGCCAGCGAATGTACGAGTGGCGCATTTGGATCGACAATGTCGCCCTATGTCGTCGTCAGCAGCCAGGCTATTACTGCCAAACCTTGAGACTCACCTTTCTGATGAGCCATCGGATCTGGTTGACGGCCCATTTCTTCTTCGGGTCGAACGCATCATTCTGGATGTCCTCGTTGAAATGCATCTGGGGCGAGTACACTTCTTTGATGATAACGCCATAGCTCGCCCTTGCAATCCGCGTCGCCAACACGGACAGCCGCCCGGTTTCCATCTTCTGCTGGTGGTCGAGGAGCAGCCCGCGAACCACCACCAGCTGGGGATCCTGGCACGGAATCACCGCGACCTTTTCAGCATTTTGGTGCGAGTAACTATGGAAGTGGTGTTGCAGATTGTCCCGTACATATGCCGAGCCGCCAAGCCCTCCCGATAATACCATGTATTCCTGACGTTGTCAGTCTTCTTCTTGCCGAAAGGGTACGGGGTATCGCTTACGATGGCTTGCGGCTGCTGTTTCTGGATGAGCCTGTCGAGCTGCTCCCTGATACAGCGCATTATGCCCTCTATTTGGACATCAAACAGCGCCTGGATCTCTTGCCTGTCGCCTGTCAGCCAACCTCCCATTACCAGCTTCATTGCACTGCCAACTCACATGGTAAACAACATTCTCCCATCCACGATCCTCAGCCCGGGGTGGTTGAAATCATGCGATACCCCCTCCAGCTGCATCTTGAACACAGGTTGCATGTACGCCCTTTCCCCGAACTTGTGCTTCACCGTCTTAAAGTGGTGACTTCTCGACATCCTGAATGCGAAGTCGCGGGGAAGAAAGCGCTGCACGTCCGGAAACGCAGACAGCCGCTGATTAACAAGATGGATAAACGCAACATCAATCAGCGACGCCCCGATCCCTACGCCTTTGACCTCCGAGATTTGCGACATCTGGGGGTACTGGGGGTCAGTTGATGTGATCTGCATCACCGCGAGATCAGTCGTGCCGCCGCCCGCATCAACGGTAAGAAACAAGCTCCCCATGTGAAAGTTGACGGCGCTCGTCTTCAGGGTCGCCACCGCAGCAGCCTCTGCCTCCGTCAAGTCGACTTGCGCAAAGTGCCTCGACCCCTCCGCGCCAAAACCGGCGTCGTGAATGATTCTCTTGAACGCGTTGATGGTCTCCATCTTGGTCCACGTCGTCGGCACGCTGAAGAGGAACGTCACGGCCATGTCCGTCCAGCCGCCCGTGTGCTGCCTCCCAACCTGCGTCTCGATCGACTCCTTCACGTGGGCGTACACCTCTTTGAGAAAGTCCGTCACCAGCTTCTCCGCCTCGGCGACGTTGCGCGGCGCGTTCGGAAGTCCGCGCTGCTGCCACGCCTCCAGGGTATCCTCGTCGATGAAGATCTTAAAGAACTCGCGCCGTAGCTTGTTCTCCTCCTCGTCGGCACACATGAAGCCCCACTTTGAGAGGCTGCCGTCGGCGTTGTACGTCAGGACTGTCGGGACCTTGCGCTCGCCTCGATCGCCGCTACCGGGCCAGTCATTGATGACTTGGATTGGCGTTCTAGGTGTCATCCAGGCCACACCTGTTCCTTCTCGTCAGTTTATGTGCATGACAGAGCGCATTGTCAGGATGCCTTACCTGTGAAGGTGGTGCCGAGGTCAACAGAGACCAATACGTCCGGTTTTTCGCTCATGGTGATTGACGAGTGTCAATTGCATTTAAAGTGATTCTCTTCTGTCGGGCAAGGACAGCACACCGGCGTCATGAAGGCGTCAAGATCTCAAGTTCATCTGGCAGTTCCAGATTTCTATCGTCTCATGTTCTTGGAAAAGGTGTGTCGGGGAGAGAAGGCTGGCAGAACAGCTACCTCGGAGCTCTTTCCTAAGACAACCCCGCCGGCCAGCCTCGTGCGAGTTGCTTACCTGCAGTCTGCAGAATGATATCGGGCCAGGGGTCGGCGTTCCTCCAAGTTCAGCTCGTCCCGCTTGGGAAGCCATCATCTTTCCGTTGCCAACGGCAAAAAGCAACGATGAGTATCGAGCCGCCCAAGCCTGGACAAGGCTGTGCAGGCCATTCTAGGCACCATCTTTTGCTATCACGTCGATCATTCCGTTTAGGAATAGTAAGCACAGGGTCAAAGACTGCGAATGTTTTCACTCCCTCGCGACGGTTTCTCTGCTCAGCGTGGCGCGCCAGGCGTTGAAGTGGCACGAATGCGTCCCGTCGCACCACACCATCCCCCCTGCTTTTGAATCAGGCTGCAGCTAACAAATTTCACACGGCAACACAGCCGTCCTCTTGTGGCTTTTTGTGGAACTGCAGTTGCGTTTCCAGACATCCGTGTCTACATGCAGACCCTGCCTGTCAGCACGAGGTAGCATACGGCTGGTCTAATAGTGAGCAGACCGGGGTTTCTCCAGATGCCGCCGTTTTGCGAACGGCCGAGGGGGGAGGGAGGGCGTGGTTCATAGGGATGGAAGGTCAACATGCAAATCCTTCGCTCCCACGACGGGCTGTTCTCCTCGCCGGCTTTACTTGAGCTGGGAGTGCCCAGCCTTTCTCGACTCCCTTCTCCAGGTCATTCCCATCACAGGTAGTTTTGATCTCTTCTCTGCTTTTTTATCGTCGTTACGATAAGCTATTGGACTCATCTCATAACATACAGCATGACTACGTCTCTGCCATCAGGATACACACTTACAACCGCGACGTGGCAAGATGGCCAAACTGTCACACAGACCGTTGCGATTCCCCCAACCACACCGCCTGCTCTGGATGTGGCAGGCTCATCGTCGAATGCGACTTCCTCGGGAGCAACTACAGCCGGAGCATCTACACTTATAACCGGCGCTTCGACGACTTCATCCCCGACAGCTGCGAATGACGCTAGCGAGACAGCATCACCTACATCGACAAACAAGTCATCATCTTCAGGAGTATCGACGGGCGCGATTGCCGGAGCTTCCGTAGGTTGTCTGGTAGCCGGCCTCATCATCGGTGGTCTCATCGCCTTCTTGCTTCTCGGACGAAAGAAGCGGAAGAGTGGAAGATACTCGCCTCACAGTTCCGACACGGGGCACATCATCGTCGGCCCAGAGTCCAAGGCTTTGGCTTCTTCGCCACCCGCTGGTCACGGCGATAACATCCAGATCGACCAGTTCCTTCTCGACGCGACGCCGGACAAGGAGTTGGCCGGCGAACTGCAATCTCTCGGGGAGCTTGTCCAGCAACATGTCGAGAACAGCTACCATTCCAACCCGGTTCAAATCGATCCCCACGCTCTTGCTCCCAGTCTTTCAAACTTGGGTTTGGGAGAACTATCCAAGCTCAGCACGGAAGAAATTGCTTCACTCTGCATAGACCCGAAGACCAGACAGGCTGGTCTCCAACACGTCGTTTCTCTCGCGGTCTTTGGAAGCATAGACTTCAAGGCGAAGAGCCGCTACTCCATGCTGCCAGGACCGATTGCGTCTTTCCTCCAGTCCATCCCACCAGTCGAGTCGCGTGGAGGTGATAAAGAAGGCAAATTCCCCCTCGGCTTTCAAGACAATGTCCGTCTGCTAACTTCTTGAAGCAACTACACTGGCTCTGTCACAATGGCGAAGTCTATCGGCCTTCCTCCTTCACCCAAATCGCAGTCAGCGTATTCACCTCTCTCCAAACGAGTCGGAGGCATCTCCCAAAGCACAGAGCCTCGCCACCGCACTCAACGCATGTCTTCGTCACTTCGTTTCGGCGGATCAAGGGAGTCAGCGTCAGCAGCTGGACCACCTGCAGGCTGTGATCCTGGAATGCACGAAGCTCGGCTACGAGATCGTGTCTCAGCCCAGTGATTGGCGCTTCACTTACAAGACCGAAGATGCAGGTGTGTCGGGTGTGCGACCTGTCGTGGTATGTCCGGGACTGGACAAGGTCACCAGTAAAGACGGCAAGATGTACAGCTCCCCTCGTCGCGTGGTTGCACCTGTTGTAACACAGGTTCCCCGCCGTAACCGATGAGAAAGACATGCCTATCTTCAAGACAATGGGGAAGTTGGCATGAAGGAGACAGACGGCGTGGTTTGAAGTTCAAAGCAGAGTAGTAACAAGATCCATAATTCATCCTCAATATCACGAACGGCTCGCTCTGCAATCAATTCGGAGGTCCCAAGGACGAACGACACAGAACCCGCCACGCCATCGCCGCCGTCGAGCAGCCCTAAGCCCAGCCTGCTTTTGGTGGACACCAGGGGTGAGGGACGTTGCTGAAAGGAATTGAGATGCGTGCGATAGAAACCTAGTGCTTACTGCATGGCAGGGGTAGGCAGTAAATTGCTTGTTTCCGTACCCGCAGGCACCGGCCCTTCTAGCGCTGACTTCGGAGCTACTGTGCTCAACTTCCGTTTGTCTATTTCACCGACGGGGTTTTCAAGATGAAGCCGCATCAAGGTCTTGAGAGATCATACTCACCCTGACAAAAACGAAAGAGAGTTCTACGGAATCAATATTCCATTAGATGACTTTGGGAGGAGTCAAGACCACAATCAAATCCCAGGTCCGTCCAGCCTGCTCTCTACCTCCAACATTGTTGCCTACACGCATGGGAACAACCATGAAGGTTACACTGCAATCAGGCTGCGGTTACCCGCGCTGTAGCGACTCTCAACCCACCTCAACCAACGATCCTATCGGTCCCCAAGCCCGAACCGTTCCCACCGCCGACAACCTGCTCTCAGTTCATTGGTTTCTCGGGAGCCTCAATTCCATTCGAAGGCGTGCTTTCTTTTGCTCGGTGGAGGCGTGCTGGAAACGGCCTCAAGTATGCGCGATCCCTTCAGCCCCCTGTAGAGCGGCTGAGTCTCTCAAGCTAGTGGATCAGCCCACGCCAAGGAAGCCTGTTTCCTACTGCATGGGCATTGCTCGGCGCCCTAGCATAGTGTAGAGCCTGCCGACCTCCGTGGTGCCGAATACTGGCGGTCCCCATGCATGTAAGTGATGATAAGTCCAGCCCAAGAGGGTGCATCCTTCGGAGGAAGAAGGGCAGGTTACATTTGCCCCCTGGGCTTTCAGTTCTGATCATCGAAGTTCTTGATTTGGATTTTGAGAGTGATGACTTTATGAAACACGCCTTGGTGAGCATCCTTGGTGTATGCCTGTACGAAGAGAGAGACAAGCCCACAACAGTTATGTGCAGTGCGCCACCATCTGTTCAGCCGTGGCTTTCCAACCTGTTCCACCTCATCGCCCATCGTTCGTCCGGTCTCTTCAGGCACGCAGCTAGCTATTCATAGCTAACAACTGAGTCGTCTTGATCCCCAGTAACCGTTGCCAAAGCCTTCGGGCCTCCTTGACAAACAAGCTCTGATCTTGCCGAGTTACTTGCCCGTTTACGCTCTTCAGTTCCACAGAACACCTGACGGAGAGCAGTCGCTCGCTGCCGGTATACTTCTTCTCTAGCCAGACGGTAAGTTACCCCGCTTCCTCGTCATTACGCCTCGTCGAGTGCTTTCAATCTCTTCGGTAGACGTGTACTAACGTGGACTTTAGGCATGGATCCCATCACCAGCTCCGTGTCTGCTCTCCATGCGACCTACCAACTCATTCTCTTCAGTGTCGACGTCGACCAGGTCCCATCTCAAGTCCGCCGCAGTCTCGAACTCGTCCAAACATGCCACCGGGATCTTCAACATCTGATCGAAATCCGGAACGAATGCCTGCATCTGCTCGAAAAGACGCCCATCGTACTCAACCGCGTGAACGAAATCATCGCCGCTGCCGACAAAGGCCTCATCGAGGTGTGTCAGATTGTCGAAAAGTGCCGACCTGACGCCAACAACGGCAAGGTTCCTTTCAAGAACCGTGTCGGATGGGTCTTGTTCGATTCGAGGGAGTTTAGAGCACAGGAACCTGTGATCAGCAGACACCATGCAGCGGTGCTGTCGGAGTTGAACTTCCTGAGACAAACCGCGCTTCTGGCACCGCAACTACAGCAACAGAAGCCGGCTATCACCACTGAGATCAAGAAAGAGACCGAGATCTTTGACAACGTCACCCTTCTCGGTGGCCTCATGGGAGAAATGGCGTTCTCAGGTATGGCTAGCCGCAACCTTTTCCCCAGGTTATGCTTGCTTGCTGTCAATACTTCTATGATCATCTAAGGTCGTTGCTAATTCTCATCAACGGCAGGGACGAACTCATATCAGAAGCCATCCTTCTCATCTGAAGCAGCGATTCTGACATCACCAATATCAGCCGCGCCAAAGTCGACCGTGCCTTTTCCTCACTTCCACCCGCCTCAGAACCCGACCTATCTATCAGCTCCGAACCCCGCCAATCCGCCCATAGCGGCCCATGAACCATACTGCGAGCTTGAGGTCTCTTTCGGTCCATTTCCCGGAGCGTACACTTCACGTCCAAACGCTGCCAGTCAAGCCGTCCCTCAAGGCCCGATTTATCATCCAGCAATTTCACAGGCCAGGTCCATGGCATTCTCATCGTCGACCGACCTCGGACTACTTTCATTTCAACATGGAAATCAGACGCGCGATAGCATCTTGGAGTATTCGTCAACAGCGTCAACTCTTGGTCTTTCACCACCGACAAAAGCCACTGAGTTCGATCCTCTGAGCCAGCTGGCCCCCTCGTCGTCTTCCACCCCATCGATCCGTAGCGCCCGCGACTCAGTAATAACTCAGCCGGTTCCTCCTGCTTTTACCGACCAACCGAGCGAGCCCGGCGAGTTGGAAAAGGAGGGTCACAGCCGGTATCCAAAGTTTTCTGGGTATTTCCGTCGGTCGAGGGAAATCAAGCCTGACTCTTTAACGACTAGACACGAAGTATCCTCAACAGATTTGGGGCATGTCAAGTCTGGTGAAAATATATTCCCAGTGCAGAATATTCCTGCTCGATCTAACACGAAATCCTCACTGGAGACACCAACCGGTCGATGGTTCTCCCCTGATTCTGTACACGTCTTTTCGAACCCTAACCCGTCGAAAGCAACACTCGATAGTGAGGTGCCAACATTGATTCCACCTTCTCCAACCTTCACCAATCTAGGAACCATGTCGACCCTATCACTGAACACTTTGCCAAGCAATGCCTCTTTCAATCTCGATGACGACTTTGATAGAATAACTTTGAGCAACCAGTCGACTCATGCCATTCCTCGAGTAGCCACCCCTCGTGCCCCAACCCCAAGACATTCTGATCCCCACCAACCGCGGCACGCCTCAACCGAACCTATCGACTTATGGAAGCCGGCCGATCGATCCGGGGTACCAAAGTCAGTGACCTCAAGGTCCCAGAGCGAGTCATCGAATCCAGCAATCATCTTTGGGTCTGCGTTCTGGGGACCAAATGCTGTGCTGGATGCAAAGGAGCTGGGACCTCCCTTGAAGAGGTCGCATACAGATGGTGAAGAGGGGCTTGCAAATGCTGCAGCAAATTACTACGGCACACTGGGCTCTGTGCCTGACTTCATGGAACAAAAGCATTCAAGGTACCAAAGATCGCATTCAGAGCTGATCTATCATAAAGCAGCTCATGCAAACTCATATGAGTTGTCTCCGGCGAATTACGTTCCAGACGTGGCCGAGTTGCCATAAGCGGAAATACGCGAATGTTGAAGCCGGGTCAACATACTGTATACAAGCAAGGATATGATTCTCATTTCATGATAATGTTCATTATGAGTACCACAGAGGCATTCAAGATACCCACAAACAATTGGCTCCCCCCCCTCTGAGTAAGGTACCTAGGTATCTTATATCTATCTGGAAATCTCTTGATCTGAACTCTGTCTGGTGAGACGGCGTCTTGACTGTGTCTCTTGCAACTCCATGTCTGCTTGACCCCTTGTCGCGCGGATAAACACGCCCTCCCGAACAACGAAACGCGGAGCTTGACTTTTGGAGTTGAATATGAAAAACGACGCGAGACCAGAGGTAGAGCGTCGCATGGACTCTTGGTTTCTGTACGACTCCATGAAGCTCTCAACATCATTATCTGTTGATGCCTTCGCTTCCCGTAGCACATTCGCCAGCTCCGGGCTTTCAGATATTTGTGCGACTGTGTGCCAAGCGTTCTCCGGAAAACTGAAGCGCGTCGTGCGGAAGAGCCAAGCTGTTGCTGCAAAAGTGGCGAGAAAGACCGCGATGACAACCAACACAGCCAAGTATCCACGAAAGCGCCACGGTAAAGATGTCAATTGGAATATCACCAGACTCGCTGTATCCGCTCCAGGTGCGTCTATGTTGGGGGCGAAAGAGCTGATAAAATCATAATACACGACTCTTGCAAGCGTAAAATAGATTACTTGCAGAGAGCGCGCTGGTGATTGTGTTTCATCCATAGCATCTTCGAAAAGTCTTGCATAAATAATATCGGCAGTACCGTCGTCCGAAGAGGGGTCGGCCGGACAGTTGGGACATAAGGCTATCGGCATGTAAGGTCGCCGGAAGTTGTTTACTCGGTCGTAGAACCATGTCAGGGATGGATCAGAATAATACTTCTGCCATGCAGAACCGTCGCGAGCTTCTTCAATTGTCAACTCTAGGCTTTCCTTGTTAATGGTCAGAACTTGTCGGTCGTCGTGAGACATTGACTTGGGATTTTTCACGGCACCAAGCTGCTTTCGAACGGCGCTGGTGTTGTATGCCTCCTCGACTACATCCCATACGTAGAGTGGCTCAGTTCGGTTGCTCGCCGATGAGGCCGATACATTGAGATACTGGATTGAGTCCGGGTAGCTGGCGGCACAGAGGAGTTAGCAGGACGAGACAGTCTACGGTCGGCATCTAGATCGCTCACACAGCAAACGAGGCACACATAGTCATCTGAAAGCTGATGTCATGTTCTCTTTTCCCAGTCTTTGAAGAAGGGTTCGTAATGCGGAGGCTCTTGTGCGTCCACGGCCCAGATACCGTTGAGTTTATCTCAGCGGCTGTGCCGTTCACACTTATTGACCCTGCAGACCTTACAATCCTTCCGGCGTCCCAGATTAATCGCAATGTGGCCATTCTGGTAGTGTTGTGAAGAGACCAGTCGAAGCTCGTCCAGTTTTGTGTCTGGTAAGCGCACAGTTGCCAGTTGTATGGGTTTTCATAGGCCGTAATGGGGCAGGTGAAGTTGAAATTCATGGAATTACTCCACGCCACACCTACGTCAGCCGCAGCAGCCGTGTCGTCAAGCTCTACGGAACCGCAGAGGCTGACATACGAAGAGGCTTCCCCTTCCTCCTGGAACGGCCGGAGGTTAGAGAGTCTCGGGCGCAAGCAGATCACGCGGGAGTCAATGACTCTTGCCATGCCTTGAAATTCGAGAATCGACTCCCGATCCTCTTGTGACGCCAGTGGGAGAAATGCTCTTACGGATGGGCCTGTATCATCAAGTCCCTCGCCCGTCACTGGGTCATCCGAATATTCTGCGAATGTTTCCGTGAAGCGCGGTCTTTGGAACCAGTAGTTATGTGCATAACCAGACACAGCTTCTGGAGCTACGCCCTTCAAAGGAGGCCGTCGGACAAAGGTGTACGCATTGGATTCCAAGCTAGGGAAGGAGATAACGCGCCGTTCTTCAAGGTCAGACACCAGGAGTGACGAGGTAAATTGGGAGGCCAAAGTCGTCAGGATCAAGAGGGCCAACTCCGCTCGCACCATCCCGTCGAGTGATGAGCCCCGGAGCGCTAGTAATCCCAAAGAAAGGGGCCCATCGCTAGAAAAGCGTGCGACTGAAGCTTGAGCAATAGCGTGAAGATGCACACCGCGCCGCTCAACCGCAGCGGAGGCAGCCATGGCTGTGGCTAAACCAGCAAGGACCCCAATTGCTGTACGGATAACTACAGCGGCGAGGGTGATGCTGAGTTGCAGTCGATTCGGGGTGAGCACCCACTCACGCCAACGGATATCTTCGCGAGGAGCCCACCACAGCCACGAAATGAAGGCGACAGCGCCCGCGAGTCCAAGCAAGGAAATTAGCAAGTTGAACTTAATCCATACGCTCAATCGCTTCTTGCGCTTGGTCCCCGAGCTGTGAGATTCTTTGTTCCGGGAGCCAGAGGGGGTATAACTTGGCTCAGTCGTCTTGGTGAAAGACGTTTCCTGGCTGACGTTCGGACGGTTCTTGATGGCAGTTACTTGAGGCTGGCCGGAATACTCGCCATCAATGGGTTGATACATGGCCAAAACTTGTTGTTCCACGTTTTTTGTGAAGCAGCTGAATGGGAATTTTAAGAATGAAGGAAGTCGCTGTACCAAAATTTTCAACAAGCGGCGGCATTCATATATCAAACGCGAAACCCCCCATAATCCTGGTCTTTACCCCCCTAGGCAGTGATGACTGCATGTTCGCTTAGAAAAACCCAGCATCGGTCCATATTACGTGCTGGAGCAACAGCCATTCATATCTGTGGGACAACGCACTTCTCAGCCCATTCTCACTAGACGTTCGCCACCGAAAGTACACTAACAGGGACAGGCATCGTCAATAGCGAGGGCTGACAAGGAACTAAACAGCCACAACCATTGCTTGGTGGCCCTCTTGTCCCTACTTCACTCGAAGTCTTTTCTTATTGAAGAGTCCGCAATGGACCTGGACCTTGTCAAATTGGCTCAATCCTAATCCTACTGAACTATTCTGTGTTGCGTCTTGGCTTTGTTTGCGCATTGACCCCAATTTTGACATTGTGAATAGGCAGATTCTTGTATGTAAACCTAAAGCAGCAGATATTTGAATTTATAAGAGGCATCACTGCGTTGAGCACAGTTTAAAACCAAATGTTATAACACATGATGAACAATCAAGCTGAAGAATTCACGTCCAGCCTTCCGAACCCCAGATGATGAGAAAACGATACAACATTGCAGCACTTTGCTCAAGAGGATGGTGCTAAAGCCTGCGCCACCTCTGCATCTGTAATCTCAACATCAAAGAGCCATCCGAATCCCTTCACAGAATCGACCAAGTATTTCTTAGACAATTCGAAGTCTGGTAGCAAATCTGCGAACCCGTGCGGAACACCGGGGTACACGTCAATCTTTGTCGACACTCCGTGATCTCTGAGCACTTTCTCGTAAACGATGCCGTCATCTCGCAGAGGGTCTTGCCCGCAGACTTGGAAATAAACCGGTGGCATGTTTTTGTGTCTATTGTGGTCGTTGAAAGGAGAGAAGTCGGGCGATAAGACATCCGGCTGATAGGCAGCACGAGTGACACGTAAGGTCTCCGCGTTGATAATCAGTGTGTCGGTGTTCTGCTGTCTTGAGAGCCATAGCTCAGCGTGCTGCTCCGGCAAGATTTCTGGCTCCAGAACCCAAGGGATAGCCAGCCAGACTCCAATCAGCTTAGGAACTTTCTTTGCAGAGACCCATTTCTGGGCTGTCAACGCTGACAGGTTGGCACCAGCGGACACCCCGCCAATGACGAAGCTCGACTTGGTACCATCACCCAATGGGGCATTGGCTGTGTTGTTTGCAGACAGTATCCACTCCAGAGAGTCCCAAACATCGTTTGAGGGCGTTGGGAACTTGACTTGAGGGGTGAACCTGTGGGTGATGCTGATGACGGTTGTTCCAAACAGCTTTGCAATGGCTCTGGCGTAGTGGCCTACATGGGTTGGGTGGCCAATGGTAAAGCCACCCCCATGAATGAGAATCACTGTTGGTCGATTTGGAACCTGCGACTGTGGTCTGAAAACTCTCGCCGGATTTTCGAAACCGTCCCTTGTAGGAATCTTGAACTCGAATTCGAATTCGGTGTCTGCGGTTCCCGGAATGGGCTGGCGTGCAGCATCGGCATGCATCACCATGGCGGAATGAATTGAGTTTAGCATGAACACTACATCCTCTCCACCTTGTTTGAGAAGCTAGTGATCATTGTTAGTCACATAAATCATTCGTTAGACAGACTAGGGGCTTGGAATGGGTATACCTCCCCAAACAGAGGGCTGGAATAGATCGAAGTCAACAAAATCCCAATGAAGAACCGGATGAGACATACTCAGTTGCCCCAGTCCTGAGGACTTCTTCTTTAGAGTCATATGATGACATGTGAGATACTTTTAGCTGTTGCGAACTTGAACTTAGACAGTGCTTGTGGGAGTGGAGGGTGAAGGAACACGGTAAGATGTACCCGTCGCTGGAAGTAGAGCAGGAAGTGGAAGAGGGCCTTTTATGCTTTTGAGACTTATGGCCTTTGCACTACTTACTGCAAGGACCAATGGAAATGGAACCACTCCAATAGTTCGCAGTCCGGAATCAGCTTGTTTGGCTGAAGAATTATGCAGACTTGGCGCAGCGCGGCGTTGCACCGGATCTGCATATCCGGGATCACAGCTGGGGCCCGAGGCATGCTGCCAACACAAAAGAGCCAGTAAACTAGGTCTGTCAGCATCTTCCATCTTCAAAAGGCCCTTTGTGTATCAAGATGACGGGATGAGTGGGTTTGACAACGGGAATCGGAAAAGACCCCACGGAGAATACCCACTATCTCCGGTTGTGATCGGGGTAAGTCGAAGTTGGTCCGAATCGTTTGTGGACCTTGCGGGGACGACATTTCCGCCGAAAGATGTCCTTCTTTGGGCACCCTCCACAAATACGGCAATCAAGAATTAGCTGATGCTAAGAGAGAGGAGCACAAGATAGGGTCGCTGTGCATACGAGCCGCTGACAAATTCCATTGGCAAGATCATATTTTCTAAAAAACCACCATGCCGAACCCACGGCACCAGAGTCAACAATGATGTCTAAGAGCTCCGCTGAATATGATTCACGACCTCAAGTATTCCATGTTACATACGCTTGATATTGAATGCAAGAAAGGTTAGCTATCTGCATTCTAATTGATTTCAAAATACGTTGCTCTCCTGTCGGAGCTTGCTACACTATTTCAAGCACCCGTGACTGTTCTTTTTACTTCTCCCCCCCACTATGAAGCCTCGTGCTGGATGATCTCAAAACTTCATCAAAATAACCTTGGTTTTCACAGTCCTGAAAACGCCAATTCATGTATACGAATTAGTCTCTTTATCGAGGACCATCGTTGATGGTTTATCCGAGTGGAACGATCATTGTATGAGGCTGAGATCACGGTTCGGATCCCGCCCGCCGGATGGGGGCGTCTCTTCTGAGTCCCGGAATAGCTCGTCATCGGCAAGTAATCGGCCTGCGGACTCTAAAAGGACCAGTCAGCTTGTAAATCTAGGAGGTTTCTACAATTTTCGCCTACCATCTTCCGCATCTGACACTTGCTTAGCCACACTCCCGAAAAGGGCATCCATATCTTCAAGCTCCCTGCCCTTGGTTTCCGGAAAGAACGCGAACAGAACCTGTACAAGTGCTCATCGTCAGGTATACGAAGGAAGCAAGAAAATCTTCCAAAAGTACATACCGGAATCCAGATAATATTCACAGCCATGAAGATGAAATATACTTTGCTATGCAACTTGGCCAGACCGATGGGCCAAATCTCGTTGACAATCATGGACGCGACGGCACTGCCAACTGAAGCAAAGTTGAGACCTCGGGCCCTGACAGCGGTGGGAAAGATCTAGATGGTCGATTTAGCAATTGGCCAGACAATGAACACAAGAAACTTACCTCAGTGTTGTAAACCCATACAGTAGGCCCAAAGCCGAGACTAAATCCCGTCGCGTAAATGAAAATGAAGATGATGCAGACGATATTTGCGGCTTTGTTATCTTGGTACGCAAGCGGTAAGGCACCGTTGATCTGTGATTTCGTAGAGCATCAGCAATGACGTTACAACACGTCTTGAGACCAGGACAGCACTTACCAGCATCGAGATGGCCATTACAATACAGCCCGCAACCAGGCAGTTCCTTCGACCAAACCTATCAATGATGAACATTTCAAGCACAGTGAAAGCAATTTTCACAGTCATTTCGATAGCCCCAATCATGAGAGCTGCATGAGTGAAAATGCCTAGGCTCTCTAGAAGGAATGGTAGATAATACTTCATGGCCGATGCCCCGCAAGCCTGGCTCATGAACTGCAATAACGTGGCGCGCCACAGACGGGAGAAAAGAGCCTTTTCCTTAAATAGAGAGAGCCAGTTTCTGCCAGATCTGTGGTACTCGTCGACATCTTTAGAGATCGCAGCAAACTCCTCCTCGATTTGGTCCTCGGAATAGATGCCTTCTCGAAGTCTCTTCAAGGTCGAGCGAGCACGGTCTTTTTGGTTGTGCTCAACGAGCCATCGCGGACTGCATAGAAGTAAGATGAGCACCATACGTGAATCAAGTCTTGGGTTGGTTAGACTTACGTCTCGGGAATCCAAGGCAGTCCAAACCCAAATATGAAGGCAGGGATAACCTCTAACATTATAGATAACCGCCAGCCATAGTAAAGGCCTGAACCGGTTTGCCAGAACCGCATGCCGTAGCCAACCCTTTGAGGTATCAGTATCATGCTTGTTAGACCTGAAGTAAGACGCACCAAAGTCCGATGGCCATTCCGGCGATGAAACCAACGTGGTTCATTGTCACGAAATGTCCCCTTTTCTTAGCTGGTGAGATTTCCCTGGGTCTTATCAACCACTGTGCACAAACGTTTCATTGACAGTTGAGCTTACGCTTGATATAAAGGAACTGAAGTCGAAACGATTGCAACGCCAAGTCCGCTGAAAAGTCTGCCGGAAATCATGGTGCCTCCCGCCGTCGAACCACCGCTCGTCGCTTGCAGTAAGGCCCCCAGGCAAACAAAACCAGTTCCGGCCAGAGCAGCATAGCGCCGTCCAAGCCAGTCGTTAATGGGATGAGAGAGGAGTGCATAGCTGATTAAGGTACCGATATAATAAACGCTGACAATAGCACCTACTACGGGCGTTGATGGGCCGCCCAGGGCCTTCCTCCACCCAGGATGGACGAGGATAGATGATAATATACCAATGTTGTATCTGATCAACAGCGTTAGTTACACTCTGTACCTTAGTTTTATGTTGTAAGAATCCTCCTCTGATGGTCAAAACTTGGCTCGTCACCACAACTCAACGCAGCCACGGAGGAAGACGAGCAAATAGGGCTCTTAGCACTTGTGTCTTGGACCACCGCGACTTGAGAGAAATCAGGTCAAACTCACCCCCAGACTGAAGCTCCAATCCCAAAATAAAAGCAGAGGAAATAGAGGCGGATAACGCCGGGTGCGAGTCGTATGTTGATGCTGGTCATAGCTGGTGACGCGGCAGCGCTTCAGCGGCCAAGTCCGCGGGCGGGGCGATTCCGAGGGGTGATGGTGTACGGAGATTGGTTTTTTGAGTTGGTGCGCCGGCAAATATACCTGAACACGTTGGAAGAGCAAGAAGCTTCCCAAGCAGGCGTGTCTTTTGTGATTGCGAACAACCACCAGTTGTGCGATACAGAGCATGAGCAAAAGAAGACCTCGCTGACGCTACCGGCGCAACGTCGCTACTGCGGGGTGACGAGTGAGACAAATCGGAGCTTATGTAAGATTATACCGAGCGGCCCAGACTTATGCATGGTAGGTATCCATTTTATGCAACCGTCGTAGACTTGGGGATTGAGGCGTGAGGGAAATAGTCGCGATGAAATAGGCTGTCACATAGCCCAGCATCTGACACTCAGGTAGGTTCCGAGACGAATTCAATGGTGATGGGCCTCACAAAAATGTGAAATCTGTAAACGCGAATTGAGTTTTAAACTTCTGGGGGACTGGATACATCGATGGGACGACAGCGGGGTCAAGTTCCTTAGATCAACCTTCAACACCGTGAGCAACCGAATTCGAAGAAAGTAATATGATACGCAAGTAAAGATATCTCTTCATTAAATCTTCGAGGAAGGAAGTTGCGATCCTGGCTCTCCATGGCCTGAAACAAGTCTCAGGACCTTTTCTATGTCCACTTGGTCGCTGCCTACGGGCGACCTCCAGGCGACATGGCCATCTGGACGAATTAGCACCGAATCTCTCTGCCAGATCTTGTGCACATGCTCCTCCTCAGAGAGTTGCACCGTCTTGAGCGGGATGCTGAGAGCATCACACAAGCCTGAGAACCTAGCTAGCCAGACCCCATCTTGAGAAAAGTCAAACAGCGTGAAATTGGGCCCGAAGAGATCATGTGTGCTTGTTTCTCCGTCTGATAGGAAGACGTGGGGAGCCCGAGCACCTGGCCAAGTTGAGGGAACATATTGCCGAGCATTCCATTCGGGCTCCGTCGTCGCCGTTTCCGGAATGATCACGGAAGAATCATTGTACCGGTACCCAAGCTCAATACCATGATCTTTGTTTTCCCCATCGTGAGAATTGATATGATCGATAATCTGCTGGCGAAGAACGCTTCCAACTTCCAAATCAGGGATACCACCCCGGGCACTCATTTGAGACACCCATCTCACGTAGTCCTGGTGAACCTGGTGATGAACCCCGGAACGTTCGATGTTAGTGCGCGCTACGGGCTTCCGCTCAGCTTCGTATGATTTCAAGAGGGACTCGCCGCCCCATCCTCGGATGACGGCAGCAAGCTTCCAACCCAGATCAAAACAGTCGCCAACTGCTGTGTTCATGCCATACCCCCCCGTTGGGATATTCTGGTGGGCAGCGTCGCCGCATAGAAAGACGCGCAGACTTCCCGACGCATATCGATCTGCAATGCATATGTTCGGCCTCCAAAAGCTGCACACTAATATTTGATCAACCTTGATCGGGCAAGGTGCGTGAATGCCCCCCAGAGCTTTGTATATACACTGCAGTGGGTCGAGCAACTTCCAATCCGTGTGGAGCGAGATGGGTAGATGAATGGTCCATGTGTCAACTTCATCTTGAGAGATGATTACGCTTCCAGTGACGAAGAAGATATGCCAGAACTGCCCCTGACGATGAAGCGCGGTAAGGTCGCTAGACTTGAAGTGAACGAGATACATTGCACCAGGCCTGAAGACGTTAGCACCATACAAGAAACATCATCAAAGTTAGGTCGATTGCTTGGTTTACTTACACTGGCCCCCCTATCATTTGGCAACCAAGGCTTTTGCGTACTTGACTGTTGGCTCCATCGCAGCCTGCTAAGTAGTCGCTTTGAACTTTGTGAATGGCGCCCGTATTGACATCGACAACACATGATACAATGTTCTTATCAGTTTCAAAGTAAGACTCAAGTTTGAACCCGAAACGGAGGTCAATGAGTGGCTCTTCTTGTATCCTGGTTTTCATTCGTGCCTCAAAAAGTGCCTGTGAGATACGTTGGTATGGCTCTCGAGGATAGCTGCCATCGTTCTGCTGCTTTATATGGTCTTTCCACGCATTAGGCGACGCAAGATCCTGCATGATTTGTTGAATATGACGAATGACCTATCCAGCTGATTGGGGAAACCTACCCACTTGCACAGCAGATCGCCGTCTTCCGATAGACCAGTGCTGAACAGAACGTCAAAGGAGTAATCTTGAGGAACTCCTGATGCGTGAGGTTAGCGCCTTTTCCAAGTTGATCATTAGAAAGTTTCGGAAACCTACCGAAATCTCGTAAGTCTTTATCAATGCCCAGGTTCTTGAAGAGTTCCATGCTTCTGCAGTTTGTGATGTCCATCTTGGGCCATTTTGTGGTATCTTGGTTGCGCTCAATCAGCATGCTTCTCACTCCATAGCGCGCCAACTGCAGCGCAAGTATCAGCCCAGATGGCCCTGCACCTGCGATCAGGACCGAGACCCTGTGTTGGTTTGCTTGGCAATCTGCTCTCGATTTGTTTTCCATTGTCATTTGTAGACTTTTGTGAATGTAAATTGCAGCTTTGATTGTCGTTATTTGTTCTCTGCTGCAGAGCCGGCCAATATGAACAAGATTCCATATATCTGAACAGGGAAGATCATCTGAAGTAAGTATCAGGGAGGCACAGATGTAGTTGACCTACTCCGCATGGCCGTCAAATACCGCGATCTGAGCACATGCTGTGGGGACGGCACGCGGCATTCCATACGGCATTGCCGGCCTTCCGTAGGACTGAGTAGCGCCGCTTTGACCCCCTCTATCGCTGCTGTCGACCACATGGTTTGATCGAACTTGGGGCCGTTTCCGTTTCACTTATCATTCTCAGTGACATCTTGACCTTCGGTCGTGCTTTGTCAGATGCACCCACTTCCGAAAAGAGGAAGTATATGGTTGGTTTATTATCTAACAAAGGCAGGACGCAAGTGGATGACGGAGAAGGCATCGATGATGTGAGTAACGGGGAAGTTGATTAACTAGTAATTCCGGCAGCAGCATAACATTTACAACAAGTTTTATTGTAAACTGTCCCCGACCGTGAACCTACCTTCTCGACAGACTTTGAATATACAGCAGCTTTATATTTATGTATATCTGGGAAGCAGAACTTGGTCAGGAGCAAATTGACGTCATCGTTGAAATATGCTCCCGAGATCCGCAACCCAACCTTGGCCCCTCCAGTGGCCTTCTTCTCCCCAGCTTCCCCGCATCTTTCGTCGGAGACGACTCCACTCGGGCGTCCGGGAAAGCTGCCCGGCTGGACAAATTGACATCAAGAAGCGCTATACGTCTGCGTTGGCACTCCTCCCCGCGACAATAGTCTACGTGCTCTTTTCATTTGTTATCTACCGCGGAAGGTGGTCACGCTACAGAGCTCAGCCTCTGCCAAAAAGAGGGGACCATCGGCTTTGTCATGGATGAGAGAATGGAATGTCTTCGGTTCAATCCGTACGCGGCCACTTCCAAAGTCCCGGGGGAAACGGCGCAAATATCGACAATTTCAGTTGTCGATAGCCAACACTGGCTTCCGATTAAAGGTCACCGAGCGTGTCTCGAGTGCAGAAGGTACGACTTTAGTTGAACGGGAGGAATACTATGCCGCCTCGTTGGGTGGCGCTTCCAGGAAGATGTCTAACAATCACTAGGAAGAAGACAAAATGTAGGTGAAGGATCCTTCTCACGACTTGGAAGATATCTGAGAGAAAGGTGGCAGGCTGACTTTCCTAAAAGGTGATATGAGCCAGCCGGTTTGTGGACTTTGTGAGCGGACAGGGGGTTCATGCACGTTTCCCACGAAAAGGAAAACACCTGAACGCATATTGAAACCACACGAGCCTAAGAAAAAACAAAGAATCGGTTCTGATCAGCTAGGTATGAAACTCGGAATGTCAGGCGCCAAATATCCGCACTTCTCAGACTGACGTATGCTGAAGAACGGATTGTGAATTTACTCGAGTCCAGGCTCGGTGGTACACCAACTCAAGATGAGTTAGAAGCGTCTAACATGGTATACTCGTCAAAGGACTCAGAGTCGTCAAGGGAAATACAGGATCAACACGCATCCCCTTCAGATGAACCGTCTCCAACACCTGCCTCTCGGCAACGTCCCAAAGACAACGCATCGACGGGTCGAACCCCCTTCAGCAACTCGGACGAATCATTTGGGGCCTACAATGAACCCAGCACATTGAACTCAGATTCAAATTACCCTGAGATCCCTCAGAGTGTTGCAACTGAGCTAGTCCGCATTTTCTTCGAGAAAATCCAGCCTTGGCTTCCACTATTGCACCGACCCGGGTTCTACTCACGATACATGACGGACGAAAACAGCCAATTTGCTGTCACTTCAGCGTACTCTCCAGAAGACACTCTCATTCTATATTCAATGTTTGCTTTGGCCGCGCATCACTCGTCAAATCCTTACTTTCAGGAGACGAGGACCCCAGAGAGAGGTAAAGAACTCATCAAGCTGGCGAAACAAAGCTACAAACAACTCCGAGAGACCGCAGATGGCGCTTCTTTGCCATATTTACAAGGATGCGCTTTGCTTGCCGCATATATGTACACGTCGGGCCCTTCCCATCAAGCATGGGTTCTCACTGGGATATGTGTTCGTCTTGCCTATGATCTCGACCTATGCGACATGGATGACGAACCAGAAGAGTACAAGGACGCCGATGAATGGGCCAGATTGGAGGAGAAAAGACGCGCCTTTTGGGTTGTTTGGGAGTTGGACACCTTTGGATCCACGCTGTCAAACCGACCATGCGCAATAAGCCGATCGAATATGGCTGTTCAACTTCCAGTCAGCGATGAAGCTTGGTTTGCAAATCAGCCAGTCCAGTCATCAAAGCTAGACCCATTGCCATCGAAGGCATGGAAGTCCCTCACGAACTGCAACAACCAGAGCGAAAGAGCATGGTTTATTATCGCAAATTACCTCATGGCTCGAGTATTCGACCCCCATATGCGCAGGGCAAGCTCGCGAGATGGCGAACGTGAGGAACTCTCGGGTTCAATCACATGCTATTATCTTTCTATGACGGCACGGTTTGGGATCGAAATGACTCCACTCTTCTTTGACAAAAGGAGCTTTGCCCGGTGTAACTGGGTCATCGGGGCTCATATTTTAGTGAATGCCGCCCGGGCTGGTTTAGCTGATCATCATGAGAGTCACGGGATCAAGATGCGGGCTTACTCACGAGAAAGAGACAGGATCATACATCATTGGCATCCGGAGTATATCGCACTGAGTCATCCATTTTTGACCTGCGCTTTACTTCCCACATGGACGCCTCATGAGCATTTGCCTGGAACGGAAATGCAGCTGAGTGAAGACTTGGCGAAGCTGGTCTTTGAACGCTACGCGTCTCTATGGGGTTTGGGATCTATGATGATAGGTAAGATTGATGAGCACACAACGATGAGCACACAACGAAGAGCACCGCTTGTAACAAGAAAATATTTACTAACATGACTCTGACCTTCACAACATTCTTCAACGGCCTGCAGCGCTTTCAAATGACGAAGAGCGGCTTGCAAAGCGATTTGCGATTTTCTTTCCAGCTGAAAACAGAACGAGAGGGCTACAATCTAAGAAGATAACGGGCAGGTCACTGCCTTCGGAAAATGAGAAAACTGCATCTCCCTCTGAACGGCAGCAAGGTTCGGCTGGCGAGAATGCTGAGATGGAACATCTACTTGAGCTTACTTCCCCTGCTCAGCCAACGGATAACATTCCCTTGATAGTGAGCGACCTCCAAGGTCAGAGTAACGAAGAAGATTGTTGGGCCTCATTTGAGTGTCAGGATGTATGGGGAACGCCATCAGGGCTAGGGAACGATAACCGTGGATTCAGTTACCTTGAAATCTAGCTTAACGCGCAATCTTAACCTCGCCATACTTTGTTGTGTTTTCAAACCTCCGTCCTCAACCATGTGCCGAACACGGTTTTCGGTGGTATTTCCGCGCAGATCACACTCCCCGGCTTCTCGAAAATGGAAGTTGATTTATCGTGATTACTCAAGCCCCAAGTCAAGAGTGGCTCAGAAAAGAGTCACAATTATTTTCGCGGCGTTGGAAGGCATAATCTGAAAAGTTACACATTTAACTACTAGGTACTAATCATTTCTTCACTGCTTTATCTGGAAGGCGGCCCATTTCATCCTGCCCTCAACGGTGTCCAGTCTAAGGCTGAATCATCCTTCGATCATTATGGAACGTTGGGGACTATCACCTTGCAAGTGGCAATAATCTTGCTGGATTTGGAAAATGACTGGGTATTCACCTAGAAGACTTAGCTATCCTGCGTTGGTTTATCACTACTATTCATGCAGCACACACCATCGACTGACTTTTGGAACTTGACTGCACGGCATGTTCACCAATCGCAACCCAACAGTCACAGTTTGAATGCATGATGGCTGTATGGTTAGTAGGTAGCCATACGCTCACTTTCTCTTGATGGAATACACAATTAGAAAGTGCTTTTTAGATTTTCGTATCACGGGTTAGGCCTGGTGTCAGCATCATCTCCAGCAGTGGTGGTGCATTTGGACCTGGCTTTATCTAAGCTGCCTTCTTCCCGTATTCCTCATCTGAGACCTCTTCGTGCCAAGTAGTCTTGCCCAGTCCAATTACAAGGTGCGTCATGAGACTACCATCATCAGCACCGTGCCAGTGCGTCGTTCCTGCAGGAGCCCAAATCACATCACCAGCCCCAATGCGTTGTGGCGCGGCTCCTCTATCACAAATCCAACCCGACCCAGCGAGAACTCTAAGCATCTGTCCCTCCTCGTGTGTATGCCAATAGGTTCTGGCGCAAGGTGTGAATGTGACGTTGGCGATAGTGGCTTTCTCCTCGTTGTGGACCAAGTCGAGATAGACGTCACCGGTGAACGTAGCGGTGGGTTTAGCAATAGGTTTTTTGCTTTCGGAAGCCCGGAAGACGATCGAGGAAGGCATTGTGGCAGGGTGCAAGCAACAGAATTTCAGCTGTAATCTTCAAGTGGACAGGTTGAATCAGGAGTGTTGATAATGAAAGTTAGCGTCTAGACTTTCGAAATTATTGGCTGTCATATTTTATAGAATGGCCCCCGCGGGCACGCAACGTCGGCGGGGCTCCGCGTCATTAGTTTCCATCCACAGCAAACTGTCAGCAGACTGCATGAGTGCGGGGCTTTCATGTGTGCACCTGGCGATTAAAATGTGCGCACAGATTCGTCCGGCGATAGCAACCCAAATGTTCGGAGGCCATGTCAGCAGGTGTGGACGTGTTCGGACTTATCATGTGGAATGCATTGATCGTACACCAAACGATGTCCCCCAAGCCGCGATCCAAGCCTAGTCCTCTATATGACAACGAGCCTGCGTGGAGTTCGCTTTCCGGATAAGTAACTAGACTCGATTTCATGATTATCCCGTAGAACAGATTGCGCGTCTGATACGTTAACTGTTAAATATTATTCGGTCCTCTCTGAGCTTTGTATTGCTGTCGAAAGTGGCGAGACTGAGTTCGTCCGACCTGACATTGCGGCACGGCCTAGAGACATAACAGGCAACCCCGTCTTTCCGAAGTGCCGCGATGCCGACCCCTCCTGCTGTGACAATATAGCGTCGCGGTCGCCGTCACGGCGTTTGTCACTACCGGGTAAAAACATTGACGTAGGATCGGCATAATATCGCGGCTCTAAGGTTGGTACCCGAAGAACTCAACGATGAGAAGAGGCGTAGAATATATTTGGCCTGTTGCAAATGCCTGCGAAAAGTAAGTCTTTGAATAAATATTCATTCTTGGTACAGACACCAAAAGATACTTCAAATATTTGACCTAATACTTTGACAATGAAGGTTGTCATAGTTGGTGCAGGGATTGGTGGCTTGGTTTGTGCCATCGCCTGTCGTCGCGAACGGATTGATGTCACGGTTTTAGAACGGGCACCGAAGATTTTACATGTCAGCTTCATCATGTTACCATCTGAAAGAGTGCTTATTAGCTAATCTCACGGCATCTAGGTCGGGGCTGGCATCCAAATCCCCCCAAACGCAGCTCGCATTGCTCGACAACTGGATTATCTTCCTCAATTGATCGCCAAAGGCATTGTTTTGGATTCCATCAATTACGTGAGATATTCGAATGGAGAAATTTTGTACAAGATGAGCGCCGGTGAGCAAATGGTTCGGAAGTTTGGAGACTCATGGTTGTAAGTGAACCTACTTCTCTTATCCAACGACGGTAAAAGTTTGCTTCTGCAGCCCTGACAGTGCGACCTGTCTAGAACTATTCATCGCGCGGACTACCATAAGATCCTGTGGGATGCAGCGGAGAAAGCGGGCGCTGACTTGCGACTGGGAGCACAAGTCGAACGCCTGTTCGCGGACTCTGTGGACTCTGTGGGGGTGTTTCTTGTTGGAGGAGAGTGCGTCACTGCAGACGTGATTGTCGGCGCTGATGGTAAGAGAACCCCCTGAGGCCTCATTTCAGCTGTCTGACGCCTGAAAAAATTATCTCATTCTCGCCGCTGACTTTGAGACAAGGGCTGTGGTCAGTCACCAGAGACTTCGTACTTGGGTGGCACTCCCCTCCGATAGAGAGTGGGGACATGGCACATCGAGCGACGTTCAAGCGAGGAGACCTTTTAGGCCTCCAAGATTCTCAGGTTGAGGAACTAATGAATAAAGGTGCTGTGACATGCTGGATGGGTCCAAATCGACATGCAGTTTTCTATCCCACCGATGGCGGCGACAGCTACAACTTGGTTCTTCTGAGTGCGAATGACATGCCTCAGGGTGTTCATGAAGAGATTGGAAACAACGATGATATGATGCTCCGGTTCGAAGGTTGGGATGCTCGGTAGGCTACCTGATTTCTACTAGCCTCTTGCTCTTGCCACTTCTCTAACCCACTTCTAGACTGACTACAATGATTTCATCCATCTCCCATGTATTGAAATGGAAGCTATTCCACCACAAGGAACTCTCCGAGTGGACGAAGGTAGGTGAATCCCGAGGACTTTATTACTTGATAGGAAGCCAAAACCCTAATATTTTTTCACAGGGCCCAGTTGCGCTGCTTGGAGACGCATGCCATCCTACTCTACCTTATCAAGCTCAAGGTGCCGCTATGGCGTCTGAAGATGGCGCTGTTCTAGGGAAGCTTCTCGGGCTTCTGCACAAATCAAAGCTTCCTGACAAGCAGTACATACCGGATGTCCTAAAGTTGTATGAATCGCTTCGTAAATCTCGAACCACCACCAACGTTCAGGGAGCCGTGTCGAATCGCTCCACATATCATCTACCCGACGGGCCGCAACAGCAATGGCGGGATGCATGTTTGGCAGCTGCTAATCTGTATCCCGTTCAGACGGAGTTCAAGATAGCAGACGAGGGGTATAAAACCGACATGCTGGGAAGCGATTCTGTGCGGGAGTGTGCAAGTGCTTTCGAGAACTGGATTGAGAAGCATCGGAGGGATTTTAGGGCATCAATATAGGTATTCACAATGTCTTGAGGCCTGGCCCCAAGCGTCTCGATTGATCAATTCTTATCTTCACCTCGCAGCCAACAATTCCAGCTACCGCGTGAGATCCTATCAACAAGTGATCATTAAGATTCTTACATGTAATTATTATCATGACCATCATACAATACTCATACAGCCCACTCTATACAATTAAGGGCTTTACCGCGGCACGGAATATCCGGAGAAGTCGTACAGTCCATTATGGTCCTGAAGTGCGCTCCATTCAAGGAACTGAGTCTGTTCAGCCGCATCCGTGGTTGGGACAAACATGCTCATATCTCCAGGGGGCGGTGTTGGCGCGACATTGCTACCCCGGTAGCCCCACAGCTGTGCGGCCATATCTGATGTGATACCACCGGCCATCGGCATGAAGGAGGCCATTTGTTCCAGGTTCTGCTGTTCCAGGGGCAACTGCTGCTGCTGCTGGTGTGTCGGCGACGACTGCTGCTGAGGGAAGGAGTTTCCTCCAAGACCGCAAGAGAGATCCGAACCCGGGAGCTGCTCCATCAGGGGCTGCAGGGTGCGCGACTGAACGGAGCCTCTGAACTCCGACGAGGTCGATGACACTCTTCTCATTGTCCTCACGCTATCCGAATGGCCCAGCATGCCCTGGCCGTCGAACCCTCCTCCAGGGAAGACCGCGACCGATCCACTGTCCTCAGACCCATCATCGACGTCGACACCAGAATCAGGGCGGGGCGCGCGAGCCATCTGACGGGGAACCAACAGACGCGATGGCGACGGCTCGTTTTTGCGGTTGCTCCTGTTGGAGTAAGGCATGTTCTGCGCGTTCGCAATGCAATGCTCGATGACCTGAATGAAGTGGTTTCGATAGATGTTGCCGATCGTCTCTAGCGTCGGCTCGTTCAGTCCCTTGTTGCGAAGGCTACCTTCCACAATTTTGAGGCTGTTCATGAAGCGGGTCTGTAACTCGAAGTGCTCAATGACAGGACAGAAATCTGACGGAGGTTAGCCAACTGACCGTCATCGAGACAGGTGTTCTTCCTTACCAAAGGGCTTCACGCGGTAGTCATCGTCGTCGGGGAACAGGAGATTCCAGATCTCCTTCCATTGAACTTCGGGAGTCATGCCACTTGCCCGTTTTCTGCTGAGGAGTTTCGTCATCGTGGGGCCATCAATACCAGACTCTGGGTCGTGGTCAGCGACGTCGCACATCTGTTCTTTAGGCAGACGCTGGTGGTCTCTGAGATCCTTTTTGCTTGGAAAGTCGCGGTTGCAACGATCACACATGAAGGCAGAAGGATCATTGCGCTTGTGCTGCTTCACAATATGTTGCCTGATGATGGTCAGGTTCGGGTCCAACGCGGTACAAGAGGGTAAGATGTAAGTACCTCAACTCAGCGAACTTGGGAAAGTAAGTCATCGCACAGGAATGGTGCTCTCTGACGTTAAACCGATGAGGATTCCTCTTGCGGAACGGGCAGCTAAGCCGCAAGTTCTCGTCGGCCTCTCGTGGCGAGGGTCTCGCCCTCTTGAAAGGGACACCAGAGTCGCCATCATCATCGGTGAGGTCATCACCGTCCTCGTCACCATCAATGCGACCAGTGTCACCCTTCTTGCGTTTACCATTCTGGGATCCTCGACCGGACCCGGATCTCCTCGCCAGAGGTACTGACCCGCTGGAAGATGTCGATGTTGTGTGGGTCAATTGCGTTACCGGCAAGCCGCTGAAGGCGACTCTGCCAATGTCCTGAATGAACCGAAAGACGAACTGGCGGAGGAAGGGCGGTGGCATGTTGACTTCGTCCAGCTCGACCCCGTACGTTACCTGCAGGACGTAGTTGAGGACGGCGTCGGCTTCCTCGTTAGAGAAGTCTATTGGTGTGGGGGTGACGGGTTCCCAGGCACGCGACAAACGTTCGGAGCCGGAGTCAAAGCTCATGCGTCCGTTCAAAGGCCGTTCCGGAATAGGCTCCGGACGGGGTGAATCGGGCGCCTCGTCGGTGCTTGGCGGCCTTATACTGACATGAGCACAAGCCTAGCGCGTTGACAATAGACGTACCTTGGAGTGCCGGCGGAATGAGGCAGCTCATTTGATGAGTCGTTGCTGTCGTCTTCTGGTTCCTCAATATCCATACGCGGCGGCATCATCTCCTCCTTGAGTCCCAGGCCGATGGATTCTGGGTACGAGTCCGGATACGCCGGAAACCTTTCTTCATTGATTGAATTCACAAAAGTCGAGCCGGAATCGCACGACTCCCGGACACGGTGCCCACTGGACCCGGATCTCGTCGCGAGGAACGGGGTGGGCAAGCGCTCGGGCCCGTCAAGATCCGGGGTAGTTGCTCGCGTAAACGTCGATGATGTGGGCGACATGGGCATGGAGCATGTTGTTGCAGAGTCCGGAACATGGGTCGAACTCATCGTGGACGAGGTGGGCGATCGATCGCGACTCCCCTTGTGGAACGCGCTCGAGATGATCTTCAAGCTCTCCGGACATCTTGTCGAGTGGTGCTGGGGTTGAGATAGGCGAAAGTGGTGTTCAAATGGCGAGTGGATGGCCTCTTCGATCTTGGCCTGCGTGGCGATAGTGGCATCGCGGTGACGCGGCTCTCGTGGCCGAATGGGAATCTCAACAGAGAATGGACGTTCTGTGCTCATCGTGACTGTTGTTTCGCGCGTCGTCAAAACACCAATCGTGGAGGTGCCGGGATGGTGTGGTTGAGAGCCAGGTGTCACTTGTCCAGTCGGCAGTGCTGGGTTGACCTTGTCTGTCGTGCCTCGTCGCGAGGAGCCCGATATCAGAATCCCGTCCGTTACTCGTCGCAATTATCGCAATGAAAGCAGAATGATCAATCGCGAAAGAAGAAGAAGGCAAAGATGATTCAAACCGTTGCGCAACCTCGAAGAAAGGGTCTGCCCCTCGCTCATTACCGCTGCCTCATGGCTCAGCCCCCAAACTATGCGGAGGGAAATGCGAACCATCTCAGCATGACAAGGGGGGCGGAGCGGACAGCTGTGATTGGATCATGACGACGACCGTCGTTGGCGCAAGAAACAAGTCTTCGTCATTGGACAATCCGGCCACGGTGGACAGGATGCCTCCCCTATTTCTGGCGCGTCGCCTGCAGCAGGCGGGCATCACCCCTCCAGCGCACGTCGAAACTTGATTTGCTTGTGGTGGGTGCTTCTCAGGATCTGTGACAGCGTTGTTAGGCAGAAACATGTTTCTGGCAGCCTGTCCTGTTAGAGCGCGACTCGCAATGGGCGCCGTTTGACGCGGATTGATGAGCCATGTGGAGGTTTCTCCTTAACCGAGCAAACAGACATCAGACGATTGGCCTCAGGGGCAATGGAGGCAATCGACCCAACTAGGCACGCCGAGTCCGTGGTCAAGCTGCCAAAACCCGTCCATCAGCCCTACGACGATGGCATGTGTGTAAGATTGCGATTCCATTAATGCACGCCATCGCTCCGTGGAGTCGGAAGGGACTCGTCTGGACCTGAAGCGTCACAGCTTCAGTTCAACTGGAAAAAGCCAGGGCCTCATGGCTGCCCCGTCGCAGGCCGGTCGCCGGCCACTCGGCGTCGTCCTCTTATTGGATAATGGCAACGGTCAGTCAATTGATATGCAGAGGGCATCCTCTGCTCAACTGAGCAGCTGAATGATGCTATCGAGATACCATAATGGCCTTTTCGTCTCTCGCCGACATCTCAATCAGGACATGTTTGAGGTGCTAATTGAGATCGAGTGGAAACGCTGACCGAAGGAAGGATGGATATAAGGAGGAGACCAACTAGTGTCGAGGCCTACCAAGTGAAGTGAACCAGCTGAAGTACAGAAAGATTGTATCGCAGCAATTTTCGGTCATCTTGAGGAATCGCGGATTCAATTGCGACAAACTGCGAGTTGCATACGCTATAGTAACATTTGTTTCCGAAAAGACAGGTCTTTAGTCTGCTAAGTCTCGAGACTGAAGTCCTCAAACAACAACAACCACACAACTTGGACATGTCACACTCGAAAGCCACGTCTGGCCAGAGCGCGGCAGGGAACTCAAGTCTGTTAGTCGCAACTCCGCCCAACTCCACGCGCTCTGAAAACGCACTGACACCGTCAACCAACAGGCCTACCCAAACCAGTGTGTACAGCGTCGATCGCTACGTGAGCGAGTCATCCTCATGGACAACATTTGAGCAACGATGCGGCACTTCCAACGCGGCCAACAACGATCCAATGCATTCAGAACTTGACAGCCTGCTGAGACAAGCTCAGGACCAGTCAGGTTCTAGCAGCAGATAAAATTCTACACAGACAGATAACGGGGGAATTGATTAGCACAACCTGTAAGAGTACGAGGTCAAGGCGCACTGCGGCAACAGTGTCGGGTTTTTAATTACACTGAGATGGCGATCTGGGGATGCCAAGCCACGAGTAATGGTTTCGGAGAGTTCACGAAGAAGCGATATTGGATGAATGGGTCGATCTGCACATATCCACACCTCAATCGACGACGCGGAGATCTGTTGGGCAAAGATACGGAAATCATTTTGCGGGCTCGGAGGACAATCAAAAGACGAAGGATGCTGTCTTTGACGCGTCAGATGGCTGGCCATCTCACACCGATATATAAGTAGGGCTACTATGTGTAGCATATATATGTACGTGGAAGCATATTTGCTGTTGACCTGAGGTCGAATATATACCATGAAGACTCAAACGGGCACTGCCCTGGCCCCAGCCTCGGCGCATCGAGGCACAACTCTCCCCCTATCGAAAGACTTCACCAATGTAACACCATTTACTGGAAGAGCTCAACGCAATCAAAGATCTGTAGCATCAATTAGCAACGGCTTCGGCTTGCTTCAAAGTTGAGGAGTGTACTTACGACATTGGGGCTCAGGTAAGTGTCGCCACTGCTGCCAGAAGCAACGGTGATGGTGACAGTGTTTGAGCCGGAAACGAGAGTGCCAGCAGGGATAGTGAAATCGTAGATCTCTCCGTAGCCACGGTAGGCACCGCGGGTAACACCACGAGAGTCGATCTTGGTGGGTGCAGCAGGGGTAGCGCCGCTCCAGCTGTTTACCTTGGCAACGGGACGTCCGCTGGCGAAGGACAGAGTGGTGGCAATGCGGAGAGTAGCGGCACCGCTGGGGGCAGAAGAGAGGGTGAACTTGATGGTGACGGGGTTGTTGACGGCAGTGAAGACGGCCATGGGGAAGTCGGTGAGGGCTGAAGAGCCAACAGTGTAGGTCAGAGGACCCCAGCTGCTCATGCGGCTGTCGGAGGGGTGCATGCGGAGCTGGTTGGCAGCGTTGCGGAAGCCGGTGGGCTGGCCATCGTACTCGCCAATCTTCCAGAGGCTGGTGTGAGAGGCCAGGCCACTGGCGATGTTGGCAGTGGTGGCCTTGCCGGCGGTCACAGTGACGGAAGAGGTAGCAACCTTGAACTCGGTCTGGTAGAGGACCATGGTGTAGGTACCGGGCTTCATGGCGGGAGAGGTGAAAGCTCCGCTGGAGGAAGCGTAGGCCCAGTACTGAGCATTGGCGTTGTACCAGTGAACAACACGCTGGAAGCTGGAGGAGATGCCCGAGGCAGTACCAGTAACAGTACCACGGCCCGAGGCAGCGACATAGCCCTTGAGGCTGAGGTCGGCGTAGAAGTCGTAGTTGAAGTCGGTAGCCTTGGGAATGCCAGAGCGGGAGAAGCTCATGACGTAAGGACCGTGAAGACCCATGCGGAAGGCCTCGGTCTGGACGTGACCACTGTTCATGTAGTTGTACAGGTTCGTGGAGTCGCCGGCGTTGTTGGTGTTGATGTCACGGAAGAAGGGGCCGCCGGAGGACAGTTCGAAACCGGTGGAAGGGTTGACGGAGATGCAGACGTGGATCTCCTCAGGGGAGGTGCCGTAGACGCAGCGAACCTTGTCGTCGATGAAGCGCTCGGAGGAGTAGAACTTGGAACGGGTTTGGCCGCTGACAACGAAGACATCGGAGCCCTCGACGGTGGATGAAGAACCGGCGGTGGTGGATACAGCACCGAAGGGGTATTCGCTGGGAAGAATGTCCTTGTTGAGACGGGCAATGAAGCGGAGCTCACCAATATCAGGTTCAGCGGTGATGTAAGTGGCCATGTAGATGTTGGCCTCGCCCTCCTTGACGATGAGGTAGTGGGTCAAAGTAGAGGTAGTGCAAGTGATCTTGATGACATTGCCTGTGCTGGCCTTGATGGTGGTAGACTCGACGGTGGCGGTACCCAGGCCAGAGCTGATGTGGCTGCCCTTGCTGCCATACTGGAGCTCATTGCCGCGGTACTTGATGGAGTTGATGTCGCAGCTGGACTTGGAGACGGAGAAGACGAGAGAGTTGGATGAGCCGGCATCGACAACGAGATTGCTGCCAGAAGTGGTGACGCCAAAGGCCGCCAAAGCAGTAGAGGTGAAGGAAAGGACGGCGAGGAAAAGAATGTGAAGAATGTTGTTGGACGCCATCTTGGCAGTGGGGACTGCCTTTACAAGGCGATGAAGAGACAGAAGTCGGAACAAGGTCGAACAGCAACGCAGTCAAAGAAAGAGCAGGAGAGCCTCTTCAGCAAGCCTTTTGGGACGAAAATGATCGACTTATTATAAGCCGGGAACTGTGTGTTGGCACTTGGCTCTTGGCAAACAGAGTCCTTGGCGGTCTTGATGTAGCCTTTGGTCTGGTTCGCGGGATTCAATACAGAACGAAGGTGGTGCCCGCCCGCCGCAGAGGTTACCTCTGGCGAGGACCCAAGATAGATTGCGATGGCTTGGTGATTGGCGGAATCATTGTTTCATGGGCCGGTGACAAGGGCTCGCACGTCCAGTCTGCCCGAGATAAATCACAAAGAGGGAAGAAAAAAAGGGTGAGGACAGGGCTCAGGGGCCAAGGGGGTGCTGTCCCGCTCCGGGCGGGTGGAGGACGGACATAGGACGGGCAGGGAACGGGCATGATTGATGGGATTTTGGACGACTTGGCAGGAACATTGCAGCCGCGTGCTTCGATCCCTGGGTCTTTGTCTCTCTGTATCTGTAAGGTGGAAATAAGCATCAATAGCTACAGTTGCATTCTTAGTGGGAGATGTGCACAGGGCACGCTGTAATGATTTCGCGATGGCGAAGTAGAAGAAGCAAATGGCCCTTCAGGATCGTCGATACGTTGGCTCGTTTGGGTAATTTTGGTTCCTTCGAGTACAGGTTCGACCTTGATCAGTGTTGTGCAGCGCAATGGGCTTACGGGCGGCATGTCTGAATGTCACATTCGGAGCACAATAGATGAGGGGGCACAGCGGTAAAATTGGTCCGTTGGACAGATTCAGACAAAGTCAAGGGTGCATCCGCCAACCGAGCACCGAATGAGCCGGCTGAGGCCAGTTTCCAGGTAGGAAGGTGAAGAAGTCTACGTGCATCACACGGCGACGGCCGGCATTTCGGGCGATTCTACCCCAGATTCGAGCCGGCAGCTGTTGCAGGTGACCATTGACTCGCTGATGCAGAGGCGGCAGATGAAAGGCGGAGACGATACCTCGGGGTATTATTACAGCCAAAAAACAATGGACGATTTTGAGTTCGGGTAACATAGAAGCTTAAAAGAGTACGGAAGAAACGGAAATAAGCATGCGGGCAGCAAATTCGTGAATAAATGAAGACGCGCAATCCATGCCGACAGCCTCACCTCCTGACTGATTCTCCTCTGGCCTTCGAGTGTTCGTTCGCAAAGTTCCGGGCGGGATGACCGCCGATCGAAGGATAAACAAGGTGAACCGGCGTCAGGACCAGACGAACGGGAGGCGCCCTTTCCCTATGCTTGGCAAATGCAGCCCTGTTGCAATACCAAAGATCCTGTCGTCTGACTTCACAAGTCCTGAGTTTCTCCTGCAGCAATCAGCTGCCCGCCCTCCGGCCTGGGCGCTAAGTGGCAAGTATTGATGATGGTCCCTCAAAGGCTCAAAGTAACGCATATATTACTTACTGCAATCACATTCACGGTTGGAAAATCGGCACATAGCACCTTGGCATTCCGTCTTACACTAATACGAATGAATTACTTACCATGTACGTGGCTGTTGGGACTCGGGACTCCAAATTGGAGGGAGAGTGCGTGAGAAAATGCGCGTTGGCGTGCTCGACAACGTGAGAGATCCAGCGCGAGAAGGGAAAGGACGCCAAAACGGAATTAACTCAGGAGCCCTGCAGGGACAATGCCCCGCTGCCAAGATGTTGGAGACTGGCTGCGTTAGGATGTGCGCGGCATGCTGGGTCACGCAAGGATCTTCTTAGGGAGGCGCATCACTGCCGAACTGGAGGTTCTGGAAATCCGACACGAGGCACTGCAAACGACTCCCACACAATACGTATAAGTACTTCGTACGATCACCTCAAGCCTGCTGGTCGTATCAGTGGAAGCAAAACTATCTTCTTGGAGCCATGAGTGTCATTTTATCAAACTTGCACCAATACGGGTGATATCCATGTTCTGCGGACTTAACCCGAGGGCTTACCAAATCGTCGGTACATTGGTTGTAGCTATCTTTACTTGCACCTACAAACTGACATTTCCTACGCCTGACTCGGAAGCATTACCTGATGAGCAAAAGGCCGGCCTGTTTGACCGCGGAAATATTTTGATGGACGAGTCCGAATGCATGTACCAGATATGAAGCGGCAGGCCGGACAGGCCTCTGTCCCATGGTTCGGTTCTTGGGATGGATCATGGATATCGATCGCATGGCCTCCATCAACGACGTCGTGCTTGTCATGCAACCAATTCCACGCAGATGGTGGATGCTCGGGATCGAGTTCCTCAATGGACTCTTGGGAAACCGAGCTCAATACCGAATGACCTCCTCCCCCCAAGTGCGGATGCCTGCCCTTGTCCTCCAAGACATGGATGTTTCCTTTTGAGCGTTGCATGTCCTCAAGGGTAGCCGCTAAGCTTAATTCGTCTGAACGTTGCCCACATTTAGCGCTCCTATCAGGTCCACTGCATCGAACATCGCATCATTGAAGCCACTTTTATTTTCATGATCTCGTTTCCTAACAAAGTCTAGCTTGTCTCTATCCCCGGGGGCACGTGTTCCACCACGGACTCAATCTTCCGCTCATCGGCCAACCCCCGACACGACAGAACTGTCACGGGGCCATCGGCTTTGGATCCCACAAACCGCTCATCCGTCCCCTTCGCAATATCAGTCTGCATCGCGACATAACACCGAACCACCCCCTGGATCAATTCTTTCCCAAGAGTCTTGGTAGTCTCACCAGAATGCTGGCCATAGCCCCTATCATTTGAGCAACGCCAACATCTGTCGCTCCACAATGTCCATGGGATTGAACTTCGCTGCCTCCCGCTTCCGGTACTCGCCGTTCTCTAGGATCGCCGTGACTGCCTTCACAATCTCGTCTTGACTCGGCTTGCCGGTCCGAAGGCTGATGGCACACCCCGCCATCTCACCCCGCAATGAAACCTCGATTTTGTCTTCCGAGTCCCCTGCCAATACCATCGGCACGCCGTTCGTAACCCCGTGAGTGAGTGCTCCGTAGCCGCCCGTCACTGCGAAGACATCGGAGTATTCAAGCGCTGCGTCGTAAAGGAAGTAATCAACCACACGGGTGTTGAAAGGGAGGGTTTCATCGTCCTTGAGCCTCAACTCGGCACCCTTGGCGCCAAGAACGGCCATGACGATCAAGTCATCGCGGTTGGCTAGTCCCCGGATTGTGGGAAGAATCATATCGCCATAGTCCTGGACGACGGTGCCCTGAGCCACGAACACCACTTTCTTCCTCTCTGACTCGTGTCTCTTGCTGTTGACCACGATCTCATCCCACCATACGGGATATTGGTATCCGCTGGGAATCTCTTTACGAGGCAGAGCTCCGGCGAACTTGAAATTGAGCGGCCAGTCCGATCGAGAGAGCTCAAGGGCCGGAATGCACATCTGCAACGTCAGATCGTGGCATGCCCAGCTAGCATCCCAGAGACCGTGATGTATGACTTGTGCATGGTGGCCATAGATAGAGTCCAGAGGCTTGGTGGTTCCGCAAACGTGCTGCAGAACATCGCCCAGCTTGGTGAACGACTCCTTGCACACGTACTCGGCAAATAGCTTGGCAACGACGATATTACGCATTCGTCCGGCGTTGGAGTCGTCGGCCGGCAAGCCGAACCCAAAGGGACCTGTATCTACACTAGCCCACATTGCCGGCATGATGCTGATGCCCAAGGTTGGTGGCAACGTAGTGTAACCGTCGGGAAGCTCAGCGCCCAGCTTGAGTGGTAAGATGCCACTGTACATAGACTCGCAAAGAACGATAACTTGGCGTTGTGGGTCTCGCTTCCTGAGTGATGCGAGAGCCGCTCGAATGGATTCGAGGGCTGATGGAATAGAATTGATCCAAAGCTTCTCATGGATCCAGAGTAGTTGTCGTAAGCCCCTAGGTATCTCGGCAAACTGAGGGAAAAGCCGATAAAGATCCGTCTCGCTCCGATAGTTGATAAATCCCTTGTGTGGTAGAAAGAAGGCGCCAGTGCGTTCAACTTGCTCGCGGTACCCCTCCGATGCGAGAAAGGAGACATCATGGCCACGACGAACAAGGTCCTTAGCAATCTTAAGCATAGGATTCATATGCCCTATAGCTGGGGAGCATAGCACAAGAACCAAGGGCTTTTTTAGGGTCTCGACTCCGGATGTCATGATTGCAGCTCTGAAATGATGAACTTGTTGCTGTTGAAAAGAAAGATCAGCTCTTTCGGAGTTCAAATGTGTCCTTATATTACTATTTTTTTCTGGGCAGACAATTCGGAATCATGATCGACAACCAGTCGGCGAAGGAGTCATCGGTCAGTATCTTGTGGACGTCTCACCATGCCCACTCAGGAACCACACAAAGACATGTCAGTTGACAGTTTCTTTAGCCAAGATATGTGCGGCTTATGTCTGCATTCACTAAGAACAATGCGGGGTGAGCTGATCCGCCCGTGCTGCAAGTTCCTAACTTGCGGCCTTGGGGTATGATTGGCTGACAGTCCGAATTGATCAAGGAACCGTGATGCGGGCTGCCTGCCACCAGAATTTCCAACCTAACTTCAGATTGAAGTTTCCAGTAGTCTCGTCGATATTTTGGAGGTTTCTTTAACCGAACGGGGAAGACTTTGTCGCCATAGCTACCTTCTATGCAGCTCCCGGAGTTAGTTCCAAGATCTCGATTGTGACACCAACCTTCACTCGGACCATCATTCGGAGGTGAAATCTAAACGGCCTGCCAGCAGCCAAAACCTAAGTATTGACCTTGTAATCCGCTTTTGTGGTCCTGTCAAAAGCTGGTGGATCGGCATCAGGGAGTAGTTCAGACTCCCTCATCAGGTACCTAGATGCCGAGGGCGCAGAACCATTGACCCGACGGTTCCCATTGCCAGACTCCTATCGACCGTAGTCGAGACGTCTAGTCTTAACGATAATATAGAGCTTATGAATTACAGCTATGGGTATCGCGAGTGACAGCACTTGCAATGAAATTGGACTTGTCCTTTATGGCATTTCATTGCAGGAATTTTAGTACGTTTCTTAGCTCCATTAAGTATTCTGAAGCATCCGTTTTGCAAGTCGTAAAGCATTTACTTTTCTCGTTAGTTCTGAACCACAAACGAGTTTTATGGAATTTCGAGTGAATTTGCGACCTACCCTGTAATTCTTTTGGCAAGGTCTGTCGGCGATGTGCGTAGACGATTGCTTCTTGATCTATGATGGTGTAAGAGCGGATGACTCCGCCCGCATTTACATCTTTTCATTTGCTACTGAACTATTGCGCCATGTTCTTCTTGTAGCTTTGGAAGTAGTCGACGTCTTATCTTCGATTCCAGTCGCCCCGCGTTCAGAATTATCAAGAAGCAAGCATTTGAAGTTACATCGCGGGACCAACAACGCGATAACAGAATTACTGCCCATGCAAAATCGCATGCAGCATGACTAATCGGTCAAGCCAAGCACGCCATTGATGCCAAGGTGCTGCTCATCGACACTTTTCTCCTCACTCCCTTATCTCTGGGCTCGAAATCTTATCATCAATACAAGGGGGTCGGGACCGGGCGGCAATGACCTCGGCTGTTGATCTAGACGTTTAGCGGTCTGGACTCTCGAATCGTCTTGGTGCGACCGACGCGGAGATGAGAACGATGCTCCCAATCAGGGCCTCTATGGCGTGCTCTGCGTGCAACGTCACCCGCTTCGCGGCCATGTGCGAAGGTTGCTTTCACATAAATCTGCAGCGGGAATTTTCCAGTAATTTGGGGTCGGCTTCTCTTTTTGGGGCATGACACTTTGACATGCCGGCCTGGTATTCTGTTGGATCACATCAGGCTCAACCTGAGCCGAAGTCCAGCGATATGGCTGTCAAAGATGATTCGCCATCCGGGGTCGCGCCCACGATCGAGCAGACGGAAAAGAATCCAGGTGCGTTGCCCAAGCGAACGACTTCTCAACTGCCCTCTCACTCTCGTCCAGTCAAGTGGTATCGCTCGCCTTTCTACAATGCGACCATTTTGGGCATGTGCAGTTTTGCAGCCCCAGGCCTATGGGGTGCTATGAATTCACTTGGCGCCGGTAAGGCTCCTACACATCGTTATACTCTGTCAGTTGCTAACCATACCTAGGTGGCGCACAAGAACCCTATTTGGTCAACACCGGAAACGCCCTGACCTTCTGCCTCATGATTGTTTCGTGTTGGCTCACATCTTCAATTGTCAAATTCATCGGCATCAAAGGCGCTCTTGTCATTGGCACCGTTGGGTTTGCGCCATACAGCGCCGGACTCTATCTCAACAACCGTTACGGTGTTGAATGGCTTGTCATCCTCGGCGCAGCTTGTTGTGGTGTGTCTGCTGGAATATTTTGGGGATCAGAGGCAGCGATTGCGATTGCCTATCCGGAGCCTCGTAATAGAGGGCGAATGGTAGCCTACTGGTTGACTTGGACTCGACTTGGCCAGATTATGGGCGGTGCTATCAACCTCGGTCTCAACTCCGACCGAAGCGGAGCCGGCAAAGTGTCGTATAAGGTATACCTCATCTTTATTGCGCTTCAAGCCTGTGGCCCGTTTGTTGCATTACTACTCAACAACCCTTCCAAAGTTCAACGAAGCGATGGCAAGCCCGTTGAACTCACCATTTCAGACCACCCATGGGACGAGGTCAAAGCAACTACAAGGACGTTTCTGAACCCGAAGTTCTTACTTCTCATCCTGTGGATTGGCCAGGGCGTATACTCCGAGTCCATTTTCTTCACTTATATTGCCCTTTGGTTCTCCGTTCGAGCTAGAGCCCTCGGTTCACTCCTTTCTGGCATCGTGGCTGTGATTTCTGGTAATCTTCTGGGCTTGTGGCTTGACCAAAACCAGATTGCGCTGAAAAAGCGAGCCAGATGGGCTTTCGCAGTCATTATGCTCACTCAGGGTGCGTGGTGGCTGTGGCTGACAGTTAATGTTACCGAGTACCGTCGCACACAACCAATCTTTGACTGGAGCGACCCCGGCTTCGGAAGGGGGTTCGGTGTCTTCATCTTCCTGGTGTCGGGCTTTCAATTGAACTACAACTTCGCTTTCTTCATTATCGGCCAGATCTCAGATAGTCCACAGGAGACAATCCGACTATCGGCGCTCTTGCGCGGAACCGAGTCAGCCTGGCAAGCCCTCAGCTACGGACTGAATGCAATCCCGATTTTTGCTCTAGTTGGCGGGCCGTACATCAACTTTGGGCTTTGGGGAGCATCCATCGTGCCAGCGTGGCTGGTAATTCGGCATCTGGGCACCGAAGGTAAGAACGGAGATTCGGAGACAGCTTCTCAGGTAGAAGCAATTCATGTTGGCAAGCAGTAAACAACATCGCTGCCTAGGGTGAGCAGAGGCGTCGATAGAAAGAGTCACAATGCACAAGGCGTTTGTCATTCACTGGAGAGGACATGTGGCTCGAGATTCATACTTAGCGCATGCCTGTCGCGCGGCTGATTCTCTGGATTTTTTTAATCAAGTTTCTTCCGGTCGTGAATCTCGGCATCTGTCAAGTCGCTGCGTTTAGAAATATCCGACCGTACAGTCCAAGCCAGCCCGGGTTTTGAGTTCTCGATAAACTTACCTAAATTGACTCGAATCGCCAAGTTGACTTACAAAGCATTCTTGCTTTCTCGCAGTACTAATATAGTTGCTCTTATGGATAAGCGGCAGTAACTGCTAATTAAAGCCCTTTTGATTCAAGGCCAGACGTGCTCAAACACGTGGCTGAGAACAGCGTATATAGAATAACCTTCCTCCTGTGTCTCTAGTAAATTGCGCCGGGCTCTTAAATGTGGAGATCGTCTATAACAGACCTCATATGAACTCCAACCGAACTGTCGTTTTTAGACTTTGTCTGCCTGCCACACCCGGTCAGTTGTCTCATCGTCCGCACCTGACAAAGTCATACCCACTTTTTCAGGGGCAGCGAAGAGCAGGCTTCGCCCTCAGCCTTAACCTCGCACGGCACCAGCAATATTCGGCGTCGGTATCCGCGGCGAGACTAGCGTGCGCTTGAGTTCTGACCATGTCAATAGTTGTCGCACATAAACTCGCTCTGTCAACTCAACTCAATGCGCGGCTTAACGAAGGCTCTCGATTGCCCAGGGCCTCCTCTTGGCTGGTCCGATGTGGGCCTGGAATAGTTGCCAACGAGATAGAAAGTTGAGAGATCACGTACTATAAGACTCTGAGGACCGCCTTGTGGAAAGTTGGATTTGTCTCCTTCATCCTCTATCAGCAGCGCTTCCGTTCTTTTTGACTTGAACATCCAACCATTTCAATTCCATCTTAACCACAGATTCCCATTTGAGACAGCACATCGATACCCTAGCTCTCCCAAATTCTCACGATAACCCAAAATGTTCGCTCGGACCATCGCTATTCTTGCACTCGGCGCTCTCGCCTCCGCCCAAACACTCACGGGTTTCCCCGAGAGCATTTCTTGCAAGCAGAATTCTGGAGGAAACGCTAGCGTTTCCAAAGCCGAGATGAAGGCAGCCATCGTTGGCCCCAAGGGTTTCAAGGAAGACGATTCAGCGGCCAACGTCGCCTCAGGGAAATGTTCGAGCCTTTCCGGCATCCCTCTGTTCACGGTACGTTATAGCAGAAAATCATAACCAGAGCTTAGCCTCTAGTGCGCCATGCTAATGATTGCATCTGAATAGGTCGGAGCTGCGAATAAGGCCAACGTTGGGTTCGCATACGATAAAGCGAAGGATACTTACCACTTCTGCTTCGCACAGGGTGCGGTTGATGACGCCACCGGTTACCCTTCTCAATGCACCTAGAGGTAGTTTCGATGTGGATTAGCATGATAGTTGGAGTTCTTCGGGGAAATTGCATCGCCTTAGCTAGCGCTTTCCAATTTCAAAACCTCTCATTCGAATTGAAGTTCTCTTGTATGAACTAGTTTGCGAGACGGTTCGGCAGTAGCAAGGCTTACGAAGCCGCCGAACGCAGCAAAAATTCCATTCTTCTTCATTAGACCTTGATAACTACAACCTTTGTAGAGTGCGTGACACCCGCAAGTCTTTCTCCGCTCTCTCATGTGAGTACCTGAGAACCTGAATAAATGTAGCCAAAGCATGTTTAAGCCGTGTTTTTCTCTCTTTCCAACTCAAACCTCTGAGTCTACCTATCAGAAATACAA